AAATAGATGTTCGTTAAGGTACAAAATAAATATGACAATTAAGATACAAAATAATTAGATTGACAATATGACTTGTAATAATATGAATGACAATAACTCTTTTACAAATAGAAACCTATAAAGCAAAATCAAACAAAAATATGAAAATGCTATTTAATAGTAATATAAAATCCTTTTGTAGACAAAATCTTACAAAGCGAAATCAAACAAAAATATGACACCTTCATTTAATCTCAAATGATAAGAATCCAGAATTTCACAGTAAAGAGAGTACGGCATTGCTCTTCAGCATCCACCATCAGTAGAAAAAAATGAGTTTTTTTGTTTAATTAGAATAGAAAATAATTATTAAATTATCGTCAAAGAATACTTTGCATTGCCATTTGAACAAGATAATGCTTTTCTAAATATTAATGTAACATATCTGAAAATGAAAAACTTCGTTAGATTTGTTGATATTTTTATAAAGTGTGAACTGCAACTAGATTTATAATGTTCTACTTCCATTATTATAATGATTAAACAACACAAACATGCACTTCAATCTCTTAAAATATTTAAATTTAATATAACCTTACAAAACTCACAGGAAAACAAGTCATAATATCTAAGCACTTGACAACATCGGGTACGTGATATTCAAGTTTGAAGTTGAAGAACTAGCATACCATAATAGCCCCGTGGCAAAATTTTTTCAGGCTTTCTGTGTCAAACCTCTCTTGTCCTATATTTCTGAAAGATACTTTTAATAATAACAAATACGTATGTAACTAACTTAAAGTAACAAAAGCGTTGTGCTTACAATTAAAAAACATATTTTGTTAAAATAAATTGTATTAAAATGTTTTTAATTAGAATGTGCAATATTTATTTTATTCTAATACTATGAACGATATTTTTTGTAGGAAAAAAATGAGCTAATTATTTCCGATTTTGAAAAACATCACATTTAAAAAAAAAATTAAAAATCGAGAAATCCGTTGCAGTAACTACCGAAAAAAAGATCGACAACGAATTAAACGAATCGGACTCTTTAATAAGGGGTTACTAAATAGCGTGTTTTGTTTCGGGATACGGTTTTTGCAATAAACATCATATTAAGAATATCGAGTTTTAAAAACCACGCGAAAATCAATATCAGTAACTGTCGAAAATAATATCGCAGCACGTAATTACGAAATCAAAATTTTTTACTTCCTCAAAAAAAGTCTATCAGCCACGATTCTACCACTGGGCATAATACAGTACAGAACCCGTTATCCGGAAATCAAAAAACCGGAAAACCAAAAAACCGGAACTAAATTCCATGAATTTTCTCGCCATTTTTTTAAAAAAAAAATTTTTCTCCTCATAAGATTTTAGGATTTTTCTTTCTTTTTTCAAAGATGTTCACCTTACCATCATTTTGGAAATAATCATTAGCGTATTACTTCATCTTTTTTTCTTCTTTTTAAGATTATTTCCAATTTTGTTTCTTTTTTTAGATGGGTTTAACAACAAAAAAACGGCTTTTTGTAGCGATTCCGAAAACCGGAAAAATCAGTTATCTGGAATAACGATGGTCCCGATCGTTCCGGATAATCGGTTCCCTACTGTAGTATAAATAAAATCTTTCTTACCATCGAGCAAAACTAAGTTTTGCGTACGGCTAGTGTTACAAAAAAAATTCTTCCACTTTAACTTAAATAATTAACGATACTCGAGCAAACAATGGGAAAATTTTAGCGATATCAGATAAGCATTTTTACAGAACTTTTTCTAACTAAAACGTAACACTGCAATTCTTTAATCAGCATAAAATAGACAAGATTACACAAATCACATTATTCTATGTGTTAATCAAGTAAAAATCTTAAAATATTATTTTGGTAAAGATCCAATAACAACATATTAGGAAGTTAAATAAAAACAATATGTATTTTTACAAAATAAGAAGAGAAATTTTTTAATTGCTATCATTTAATAAAGACAATGTTAAATATGAAAAAAAATCTAATTAAGTAAAATTTTAACAGATTTGTCTGCTAAAAATGTTATTTTAAAATTATAATTTCTAAAGGTTAAATATGGGATGAAATTTTGTTATAGTTTTGTAATAATTTGTAATAGTTGTTTAAAATTCAATTTCAAAAATACATAGTTGAAAAAAAATGACACTTGACTATATTTCAGATTCACATTTTAATTAAAAAAAGACATTAATAAATAAAATAAATATACACTGGGGAACAAATTTTTTGTTGCAATCATACAAATACTTGAACTTTGTTGTAATTTAATGATAATTAAGAAATATTCCGCTGGTGGCGCTGATGAATGTTTGCGCGGGACCAGAGACCCATGAACTCTTGTTGTTACATCTTCTACCCTTTTCTTTGTGTTTCGTGCCGTCTATGTTATTAATAAAAATATATTTCAAAAGAACCTGCTCAAGGTAAGTGAAATTATTTCACACTTAAATTTAGTTCATTATAGAAATGACATTGGTTAAGCAATATTTAACAAACTTGAAGTTAGATTTGCTCAAAAAGTAAGTTGTTTTTTTTTAAACGACATATTTTTTTTGTCCAAATGTACAAGTTTAAAAACGTTCGACCTACAGAGGGTTGTTTAAATGTTACAACAAACTTCAAGAGGAATCAGGGCACATCATCAGGATTAAAGTTACACAGGCATCCGCCCAGTCCTACCCAACTTCGGCGCCTTACTATGAACAGGGTATGCACACGAAGAAACAATTTATAATAGGGTAGCGACTTTAGCGAAATTTCCAGGCACAGGTCCATATGCAAGTTTAATCCTGATGATGTGCCCTAATTCCTCTTAAAGTTTGTTGAAACATTTAAACAACCCTCTGTAGGTCGAACGTTTTTGAACTTGTACATTTCGACAAAAAATTGACTAAAAAAAAGCATTAAAAAAAATGTAGCTTGGACCAGAATTGGCTGGTTTAAATAAAATGTTTTACTTTAAAAACATAAAATTTTTTGATTTTTTAAAAAAAAAATATTTTTAAAAGTTGAATATTTTGTTAATTACATAAATAGTTTCAGTTTGAATAGAAGCAAAAGTATTAAATATTCTCATAAAATTTTTCTCCTCCAAGTTTCTGTATTTCTTAAAATAAACATGAATATAGAATTTTAAAATATTTAATTATCATAAGCTTCCTGCAAATATACCTATGAAAAAATTGATATAAGCAAAATGTTTTAAAAATGCTTAATATAAAATACAGTATCATGAAATTCATTTTCTAAGAACTTTTCAAATTAATTAAATAATGTAATTATTGAACAAGTCAAAATAAAAAGAACACTTTTATCATGTTCAAAACACTTCATGCTTGTCACAATCAAAAGCATAAATGAAGATGAAGTGCTTCTCTAGTTTTTATACTTTACTTTTCGCTTCATGCATAGAACTTTTTTTTTCTGTTATCAGTGTATATAAGTTTAGAATGTTTCACTCTTCTTATCAGCAATATTTTCAAAGTTAATTTTTTTGTATTAAAAAACAATTATAAAAATATTCAACATTCAGCGTTGGCATGATTTAAATTAACTGATTTTTTTAAAAGCCGTAAATCAAAAGAAACAAAAAATTTTTTATTTAACTTTAAAATTATTTTTATACAGTATAATAAATCAATGCATTCTTTATTGTATTATTTTTAAAAGTCTAGTTTCAGTGATAATGTTGGCATCTTATTAAGAAATAATGAAAGGGATATGCATATAAATTATTATATTCACATCTATGTTCCTTTCAATCAAACATACACCATTAATCTCACATGACAAGATATTGCCTCACAAAAATTGCTAGTTTTCAAGAATTACTCATCTTCGATAAAAGGATATTTAGACAAGTATACCATACGTTTTTCAGGAGTATACTTAACGAGGGATTCAAAAAATTTATAAGTTAATTTGTGTTTTTCTTCCGCTTTTTTAATATTAGCAGCAATTAACTCTCCTCTCTTATTAGCAATTTCATTTCTGGCAATGCAAATTTCTTCGTATGTGTTGATGACGCTACCACTTGCTGTTTCAGTGCACCTAATTTTTTTCAGGTGTTCTCTACACAAGATCAGTTCATGACTGCCTTTGTTGTCTTTTCGGGCAGTTCTTCCTTTGATTTGCGTCTCTTCTTTTTCATCCAAAGAAAAGAATGTTTGAATAACATGCACACCCCCGTTCTCTTCTACGCTACGATCGTTAAACTTGTAGTCTATACCTCGACCCATAGCTCTAGTGGCCAAAGTCACTGTTTGTGCAACGCCAGATTCGTTGATGCGCCATTCCACAACCGACGGTTCTTCATTCCCAATCAAAACATACAAACGATTAATATTACTTCGATATATTTCTTCAAATCCTTTTATTTCTGCGTCAGTATCGAAGAAGACAAGAATAGCTCGATTAAGTTTAATGTTTTGGGAAATATGTTCGAATATTTTCGAATGCCAGTTGCTTTCTGTAGCTTGAATGGTGAAATGGCTAGTAGGAGTGAAAACAAGTTTACGTTCCCCGAAAAAAGATGGCATTGCAGACATGGTTTTTATACCATAATTTTTAACAGCATTTTTTTCTGATCCATCCAATGTCATGAGAGTACCACTCACTCCTAAAATATTTTGGTATCTAGAGGGTACAATAGCATAAGATATCGATCCATAACCGATCTGTATATAGCCATAATTTTGATAGTATTTATCATCGAAACTTTCTTTTTTCAACCTAAAATAATTGAATACATTACAGTAGCCATAGAAAGTGGATCTATAAACCCCAAGGTTGTCTCTGAACTTTATAAGACCGCTAAAATCTATTTTGTAGCGCTCAATAAACCAAACGCTTTCATTTTTCTGATGTGAAACATTTATGGCATCAGAAATCATTTTTTCCAAATGTTGCTCAAATAATGAATTTGTATTTGTTATGAAATATTTGAAGTTTTCGTGCTTTTCTTCCTTCAAGAGTTCAGTTATAAAATCTCTTATTTTTTCCATAACAATGGTTTTCTCGTACAAACCTCCTTCCACTATTTCCCACAATTTAGGTTGTATTTCTAGCAATGCTGGCAT